CGCTACACCGAGTTTCGTTTACGTATTACGCCAAAGTGTTTATGTTAGATGATTCGAGCTTCGTAATATCAGCCCAATGTTTTTGTCATATGCGCACTCAGAAATATTTTCATGTTTTCCATACTTGCGTTTTTTTCCATTGCAGTATTGCACGACGCATGAATATCAGATTAATGAATGCTTTTTCCTAAAAAAAGTGTATTTGCGCTTAAAATTTTTTGAGGCAACTGTAGTTTATAAACTTTGCGAGATAAAGATAACAAAAACAAAAATTTCACTTTTGTACTATTTGCGACTTCATTTTTGCCATGTGGCCCTCCAATTAGCGATTCCCTTCTTACCCCAATCAAACGAAATTAGAGAGTTATTCTATTTGGCAAGTTTTAATATTACAATTTTTGTTGCTAGAAAGAAAACATTATTGGATTTTTTTTATTTACGACTACGTTCCCTTTCGCTCATGCGGTAGCTTCCTCGTTAGTGTTCCCTATTGCCGTCGATGAGTAACTGCAAAAAGTATTTTTCTCATCAACGTAAAAATTGTAAGAATAAAGCTTTTCATATAAGAATAACCAACCAGTTGCTTTCGATTGATGAATAAAGTTGATCTTTAGTTTGAGTACAAGGTAGTGCACACTGCGTCTTAACGTGAACAAATAGACGATATTCTAAAATTCGTAATTTATCTAATTAACTTGAGAAATCTTAGGGATATAGAATTAGTATCATAAGTACATCTTTTCACGGTAGGTGTAGAACGGAAATACTCATACACTGTGTAATATTGCATAAAGGCAAGCATAGAACAATATGCAAAAAAATGTCTGGGCGGGCACATGGCAGAAAAATGGAATATTGCGCCAACAATATAGAGCTCCAAAGAACCTACATAAACATAATATTTGATTAGGTCAACCAACTTTCGTATTATCCTAAAATAAGTTTTGTTATCAACAAAATCTAAATGACGGTGTAGGAAATAGGGAAAACCACCTCGTGACCAAAATTTTTAATGCCAAGCATTTCTGAGCAAACTTCCGCTAATTTACGCGTATCTATCTATCTATCTATCTATCTATCTATCTATCTATCTATCTATCTATCTATCTATCTATCTATCTATCTATCTATCTATCTATCTATCTATCTATCTATCTATCTATCTATCTATCTATCTATCTATCTATCTATCTATCTATCTATCTATCTATCTATCTATCTATCTATCTATCTATCTATCTATCTATCTATCTATCTATCTATCTATCTATCTATCTATCTATCTATCTATCTATCTATCTATCTATCTATCTATCTATCTATCTATCTATCTATCTATCTTGCCACTTCAAACCTTTAGCTCTCCTGGCCGTTTTGAGGATGGGATTTACACCAAAACTTTTATGGTTTAAGACGACTGTATGACAAGCATAACTGATTATTCATAAAATGAATATCATGAGAGGTATGCAATGAATGTCAGGATTTACATGTCATGATCTTGCTGCTCTTGTGGTGTTTTCGTTTGCACGACATATTGCAAAACTGGTATGGTGAGACATGACTGCATGGCGAACATAAGTGGCAGACCCTAACGCCTAAATCATGACATGCATGTCATGTAAGTCATGACATACGCTCATGGTGCTCTTGCGGTCACTTCGCCAGGCCCACATGTAACAAATTTGGTATTACGTGATGTGAATGGGTGATAAAGGTACATGACTGGCGCAAACGCGATAATGACGGCATGCGTGTCGTGTAAGGACATGACTACATACCACGCTCATGATGCGCTCGCGGCCGTATCGCTAGCTTCGCATATACCAAAGGTAGTGTTACGTGATGTGAACGCATGACGAAGGTAAATTGCACGTCCAAACATGATAATGACATGCGTGACATGTAAAGTATTTCTGTATACTACGCTCATGATGCGCTCACGGCCCCTTCACTAGTTTCAAATATACCAAATTTGGTATTACATGACGTGAATGGATCACGAATGTATATAACTGGTGCTAACATGATAATGACAATTTGCGTGTCATGTAAAAACATCACTACACACCACGCTCATGATGCACTTGTAGGCGACTTGCTAGCTTTACATATACCAATATTGGTAATACTAGATGTTAATGAACGGCGAATGCAAATTCTAGGCGCAAACATGATAATCATGACATGGACGTCAAGTACGGCATAATTTACATGCTTTTCACTGCTGGTGCTGGTATTGCAAACGCTAGTGGTGCCGTCGTTGCATCTTATACTTGCATCTTATCGAGATACAACAGCGCGCATAACACTTCTACATGTGTTTACTGTTTAGTACATACGTGCGCCACGTAACTACGTGCCGATTATAAAGTGGCATATCAACCTTCCTCATTCGTGCTTCACGTATATGATTCCTACTGTACGTAGGATCCGTCAAACTTTTTTCTCTGAAATATTCTATCAAATCATTGTTTTAAATGCATTCAATCAGCATGTTTTTCTCGAATAAAATTCAGTGTCACCAAAATGTCTAGGACGTCTGACGTGGATTGATATATTAGAAAGCCAGGTGATAAATATTGGTCAAACATTCGCCGTAATGTTTGGAAATCGCTGGAAAGGATACTCTTTGTGACTGAAGCCCACTTTTGCATACGATATTCGGGAGATATTTATAATTATATAACGAAAACCGGCTTATGTCGTAAGGTTTCTGGAACATCAAAGTGCCTAAACTTATGTGGGCTTAGGGGGTGAGGTTCGGTGCAGTATGAACACCGTTAATGTACCTATTGATTTGAAATTTTGTGAGAGTTGCTATTAGCCGTCATTTCCTCAAAACACGAAAGATTGACTCCAGCATTTAGGTACGATGTGCACACCATCACATAATGGTGATGTACGTTAATATATATACACCATTTTTCAAACGTGCTCAAGCGCCGCCATCTTGTAGTGATAACATTGTAGTTTATATTCGTATCAAATAAACAAACAGTGTCGCGGTAAACTCACTCGCAGAAAATCACTTTGCCGGCAGATTCTACGTTTAAAGACCACAAATATTTCATGTTGTGACGTGAATAACTTACAAAACCAACGCTTCTCAGACCAAGATGGCGGCACCCTTGAGTCGGGAAGAAAATTTTGTTTGTGTTGAAGCAGATTTCATGTTTCTGGTGTTCAAAATTTTCAATCTGCATAATGAGCTATATTTTATCTCCCGTAATTGCTGTTCAGCTTATATTTATCCACTTCTAATGCGAAGTTTCTGGTATGTAATAAAGGGAGTAACGGCGACATTACTCAATTTACTATCTGCAGGCAGATCACAGTGTGGTCATTTAAATGCTTAGAAAAGGTGCCTCTTTTATATTGAATGTGTATCACCATGACACCAGCGTTGTTAGATAAAATTCTGGACACCTCTCTTTTTCTTTCTCCGTCAAGTTCTACAACATGAAGCAAGTTCTCCTCTCTTTTACGGTGGGAAGTTTAGTACTGAGCTACGGTCTAGGGCAGCTGACTTCATCATCAAGTACGTATGACGCTCATGTTCGCACTAATGACTTCATAAAAAATATCTAAGTACCACGTGGGATTTCAGCCTTAAATAAGCAAAATATATGTCGCTTTTAGTACATTATACATCAGGGGTATCGAACTCATCTCAGGTAGCGTGTCGTTGGCACAAAATTTGGTCCCGCAAGAGCTTGAATTGTGGAAAATGTTCAAGCGGAATGGTATGTGTGGAGCTTCATCAAGATGTCAGCTAACTTAGTAATCTTTAAGGTTTTTCGCATCTATCTTATATGAGTCATTTTTGAAAGGAACCTGGTTTCAGGACTCGAGAATAATAATGCTGATCTTCAGAATGACCTAAATCTTAACGCCAATTTTAAAAAAAGTAGTTTTCGTACAGCGGTTATATTTGAACACCTACTGATTGCATGCATCTAAAAAAATATGCTTGCGATCGGTCATGTCCGTGTAGCTCACGAACATAGTGAAGAATTAAAATAAATGGCACAAGTAAAGTGATGTCCGAGCCAGGCCGCTATCAGTAGCATCACGGGCTACGTTTTTGACCCGTGTGTTTCAGGTATGATTAGATGGAAATCGCTGTAAATTATAATGTGTCGTACGGACGAAATTTTGTGACGGCAATTTTCAAGGCCATGGCTGCGGTGCCTTTGAGACCGTTTTCTTGTGTTCCTTCTATGCATGACCACATGAATACTAGTTTAGTTTCCTTTTTCAAAGTCACTGCGATAAGCTCCACTCATTGGCGTCAAGCATATCATATTTAAGAGTGCCCTGGGTTGCATTAAAGCGCGCTTGTGTGATCAATACAAGATGGACTCTTGTACTTTTCACAATTGAAGGACTTAAAAGACTGTAACAGCTTTCAATCAGCTCGCGTGAGACAATGACAAGAGTTTGATGTTACAGAAGCTGTCACTTCATAGCAACTGTACTTATCTGGGTCTTCCCTTGGAGAAATAGCTTGATCTTGGATGTGGTAGAATAGGCAAGTTGAAATTTCCGTTCGCCTGGTGATGCATGAGAAATGAAAATGCTGAAAAACAACAACAACAAAAAAACACGAGAACAAGAGCATTTTGTTCTCTTTTACTTGTTTCATGTTCCTCTGGTAAAACGTATTGTTTTAAAATATCATGTAAATCCACTGAATATCCCGTCAACCATACAGCGACTGTCTCAGTGCGTTAGGGCTAACGTAATGTCAAGAAGGTACATGGCAAAAAGTATTATGTTGGAGGTTGCTACGGAACAAGCAAGGTTGCAGAACACTTAAATGCTTTGAAGGGAGGCAGTCTAGCTTGGCGATGAAGTATAGGCGGCAAATGCACGAACGTGCACATCTGAGATAATGTGGGTGTTCACGTCAGTAATGGTGCAGATCGCGTGGTTCATTCAATCACACATGTTTTAACCTATAATTGACGTTAGTGACTTTTCCTATACTCCAGGGGCGTGCAACTTCACGGGCTTAAACTTGGAGCGCATGGTCGTGGACGTTCTGAAGCACCTGCCCGTGACGTACGCGGAACACGAGAACTGGCCCGAAGCGTTCGTCGCCGGCCTGCTGTCGTCCTCCATCATCTACACTGGTTTCGATAAACTCAAACTGGCAGGGCCAGTGGTTCCTTACTGCACAAATGGGACGAGGCTGGTGCATGCTGAATTGGCCACGACCGGAGAGGACCAGATCGTTGCCTCGGCAAGCTGGAAAACCTGCAATGGTCTGAACGGAACCTTCGGCACCTACACTGGAGCCAGGGTTGCTGTGACGTTCGAGGTATTTAAATAACTAGGCTGCCAGGATAGCCGAGTCTATCACAGATGAAACATCGACATACGAAGCGCGAACGTAACATACCAGCTCGGTTTCTTCAAATACTTTATTCTGAGGCAGAGAACGATGGCTATCAGTTAAGTTACGTACAGGCTTTCGGAGTTTTTATGCAATTGTAAAGTATTGTGAAGTGTTTGCCTACATCGATTTGAATGCATTTCGACTAGAATGATGCAGGTGAAAACAAATATATTTAAATATCGGCTATGCCAGCTCTCAAGCCATTTTGCTTTCTATGGACGGCTACCAGCGCTAGATGAATAAACGAAACAGGTAATGAAGATTTAGCTGAGTACCACCTATTCTCTTTCGAAGAAGTGAGGCATGTTAATGTTTGAACCAGGTGTGGTTCTTTTAAAAAAATTATTCTAGTGAAGTTAAATGCAACTTTATGTGCGTATATATTTGGAGAACAACGCTTTGTTTTGACTCTCCGAAAGAACGGATAATCAAAACTCAGTCGTAGTTTTGTAAGTCTAAGACTTAATTTCGTGCTTCTGCATAAGCCCACAAAGTAAGGAACCTGGGCTGATAAAGATTGATTTAATGCGGACCTAAATATTGCGAAGTCGTAAAAAATGCACTAATTCATGCAGTGTACTCGTGGACATTACCATAATATCGCAAACAATGACAGCGAACAACGACTAAGCCAAGCTTTAAATTCTGTTTTTCTAGTCGTGTGTATAAATTCTTTTGGCGTAAGGCCAGCTAGGACGAATCCGCAGGCTATAACTACTTTCATATTTTTTACCCTATTCTTTACTTTCTGCGGCCTTTTGTGGTATGAAAACATCACTGTAAATTCTTTTCGTACACTCAAGTCTTAAAACCACGATGATTATGAAAGATGTAGTGTTGGATCTCGCGAATATCTTTTACGTGTGCCTAAGCCTAAGTACACCCGCACATAATTTTACCACAACGGAATTGAGGCTGCTATTATATCTCGCGATGAGCGGGCTGATAGTAGAGCAGCAAAATTACTATACTCCACCATGGGAGGAATCTAAAGGATTTTAATTCATTCTACATGTGTCTAAGTAACAATTATGAAGATGGGCTTTCATTCCTGGCTATTCATTCGCATTGCTCAGTTCTGTATGAAATTACACGCCGCTTGCACTTGATCCCTGCATCCGCTTGCACAAAATGCTGCCTGCCAGTGGTCATTGATAAGGCGTATCATTTTTTTTTTGGGAGCAGAACAATAGATTTTGGTCACAATAAAAACCCCATTATGAAAAAATTTTCTGAGCCATCCACTACGGTGGGCTTTTAATCCTACCATAGTTTTTTGCGTAAAACTGATTCTCTTGTTAGTACGCGTGTGAGTAAATGTCCTTACTGCAAAAACAAATTATCTGTATTCATTTTCTCAAGGTTGTTAAACCGGGCTACCCTTACCATGCTGTCAACGGTGCCGTGCTGACTCACCACCGCGGCCCCAAGCCTGTTTTCATCGACAAGGTATCCCTATTTCTGGATGGAGCTGGTGACGTCATGGCCGCTGGGGTAGCTATTGCAGGGAAGCTATTTCCACAGTTCGCAAGAGAATTCTGGATCGATGTACTCACGTCAAAAGTGTCAAACATATTGGCAATTGTTTCCATCACTTGAAATAGTAATGCCAGCCGAGTTGATACAATGTAGTCATTAAAAATTTCGCAATAAAACACAAAGATTAAGACAAAGGCGTTTAGTTCCTATCACTCTAAGCCAAAAGAGAGCAACGGGGGTACAGGCGTTCCTTTTTTGAGGAAGCAATTGCGTTGACAATGTCATTACTCGGCTAAAATGAGCAACTGCAGAGGGAGAAACCAATGCTCTTCTTTCGGTTCCTTCTTCGAGAGATGAATATTACTTCTTCGAGTTGCTTCCTCGAGAACCAACCATTACTCCCACCACTTGCTCCCGAAGACCAACGAATAGTGCTTTCCTTTGCTCTAATGTTTTTGAAGTAGGAGTGATCGCTAAACATCCAGTTACTCCTAGTGGGTATGAATATTTATTCAGATCATACTTTTGAGAGCCTCGACGCATCATCTGGGTTTCTTAGCAGATCCCTGATGAAGTGCTTGTAACACATAGTGTAGACAATATTGAAACGAAAAAAATATGTGATTTTATATATTTGGGGCGACGTATGTACACATGGAGAAATAAAGAGTTCGCCGCACACTGCTGTAAACCCTAAATGGGTGGCATAATACATGCAGAGTCTTGAATCTTCAGTAGAAAAACAATATCGAATTCACAGCACGGGGCACTCTGTGCCATTATGGAAAAGGCAAGGTCGACTTCTTCAGTTGTGAATGGCTCAGGCTGCACGGGACTCTTGTTTCCATCAAGCTAGCGCATTTGAGTATGACCGCAGGCATCTAGTTTGAAGCATGTCATTGCTTCAAAAAGAAATAAAAGCGTGGGATTTTACATACCAAATACTATACGTATCTATGAGTCAGACACACTACAAGAGAGTTTACAATCTTGGAAGTTAACTACAAAATAATTGCGAGAACAAGTGGTGGGTGCCGTCAAAGCTTACTCGGTAAGCCTTATCAACGTTGATGTGATGGGTGCTTTTCCCATCATGTTTTTACTCAAGATTGCAGATAATCTGCGTCACCTCAAGAAGGCAGTCTATCTATAGCATTGGAAGCTACCTCTAGTGGTTTTGAAAACACGCCAGGCCTCAGTGGTAGGCGCAGCACAGTCACAGCGAAAGCTGGAAGAGCAGCCTCTCAGAGCCTTTTCATAACACTCATTGGATAACTGCTGCAAGCACACTAGCTTGGTACCCACTAAATCATTATAATAAACTTTTGGGAAGTAGGCCGGCATCTGCCATCCTATTTTTTGCCCTTCTGAGAAGCGTGGTATCCGCTAAACACTTGCAAGGAATTTCGTGCCACTTGTTCATGCAGTGGTTGAAGACGATGAAGAACTATGCCTGAAGTGGGTATTTGCCACAGATATTAGGGAAACAAGAACAAAATGTTGTAATAGGTTGGAGCATTGAACGGCCCATTCGTCACTGTATTCGCATTATGCGATGACTGGTTCTTCTTTTGTTGTTGTAAAACGCTTTATAAGTCGTATTAACGCGATTGCTTTCCCGACAACAAGCCTGCCTAAGGCAAGTTTAGAAGTGGTAGCATACTGGGATGGCAAGCAACGGACCCGGGTTCGAGCCCCGCTGTGCCACTGGTGCTAGATATTTTTTTCTTTCTAATTTCGCGCGATGCGGTTACGAACACCGGCGGTGGCGGCAGCGGCAGCGGCGGCGGCGGCGGCGGCGGCGGACAACATGCAATTGCGCGTGACTCGAAAAGTGATTTGATAACAGCTTTCATTGTAAAAAAGTGACTAACGATTACGAGTACTTGGTACTCCACTATGGGAGAGCCGTCCAGTCGGCCTCACACTTGATGAGGCCCTGTTGACAAATATGGCGCCTTGAACGAGTTCACGACGCTTGAAAAATCAAACGAGTAGTTTCTCCACGCATATCTACTAAGTGAATGTTTGTTTCGAAAAAGTAGTTCGTGATTTAGAGTACGTGGTACTCTACTATGGGAGAGCATGTAACTGTCCCATGGTCTTCGAGACCTGTCGTAAAAAATTATTAGGAGCCATTTCTGAAGGCTGACTCTCTTTCCGAAGGCTTGTTGTAGCATGGTTAAGTTGCGCTGAATGCAAGAGAGACCGCGGAAATGCGAAACATATCAGGAGAAACACAAAGAGCTTGACTCGATTTGGAAACCATCCGTGCTTGATATAGTTAAGTTACAGAGGTAGGATGCATAAACATATAGTCTTCAATAATTACTTCCTAATAAGTGGGACTTGAATAGAGAAATGATGATTCCCTGTGATCTTTTAGCGAAATGGCTGCTAAATTAAAAACAAGAAAGGCTGATCCCTTCGTTATACAGATCCTTATAACAAGGAAGTAAAACATGCCCTAAAGTAATTGTTTTCTGATTGCTGTACATTGTTATAAAAGAGCTCGCAGAATGTTTATCGGTAATTGACAGTTATTGCACCGTTTAACGTGGACACACACACGTTGAAGCTTGGTGGTACATCAACATCCCAACATGTTACGATGAGATAGTCACCAGAAAAAGCAGTGTGACAGCCATAAGAACGACGCTGAGCTGACGCTGAATTTCGAAAAACGTAGTCATTTACCAGAGTGGTAAACAGTAAGAACCTGGTTAGTCAAGTGGTAATAACAAAGCGCGTCGGGTGTCCGCTGTAGCCTAGCTGCAACTTGTCTCGGGACTAGCATAAATGGGAGTGCGATATTGCTGCCAGGTGGGACAGATGCGGGTGTCAGGGCTACCATTTAACACGAAAGTGGCTTATGCTGTGGTCCAAGAAGACTGCAGTGACGTACTTTTGTCATGGAAAAAAGAAAAAAAAATGGCCCCGCATCTGCATGTTACACTGCAAATGTCGTAGAAAGACGATAGTCTTGCGTTTGCAGAGAGTGAACAAAACGCTTATTTGATCGTATGCGCAAAAAAAAAAATCTGTGAGTGGTATTCTGGAGGCACTGCGTTAGAGTGCCTCGAGCGTGCAGTGGAGGGGAACGAGCGCATAAAGTCCCGTCACACGTCAGACATGAGCGCTATCTGGCAGTTATCATGGAAAACGGAGCGCGAGGCGTGTGCCCCAATCTCGGAGGCGATAAGGTGTAGAACGCGAGGCGACGGGAAGGTGCCACCACCGTGTCATTTTAGCAAAGCGTGGGAAACACTTTCCTTTTCGTGCAAGCGTTGCATTATCAGCGCAGCGCGCAAAACGCTACCGTTCTTAGAATTACTTATGTATGCCTTTTCTAGTAAAAAAAAACACGCATACAAAATATTGACGTGTTGTTATGGTGCCTCAGATAAGCGCAATAATAATTTTTAATTGACAATCGCACTAGTATGAACGCTGAATCTTGAGCAATATTGGTGGGCAGTGTGGATGGGGTTGGTCATTCAGGGTATTGTTTGTTGCTGTTTGGGGTATCATAAGGCCGGACGGACGAATGGACAGACAGACCAAATTTTTTCTCTCGAAGTTCCTCAAGAAAGACTGTCATCTTTAAAAGAAGTTCAGTTACCGGGAGTAAGTCCCCGAACTCTCTGCGGCAGTACCATTCGCTGGCCATAGTATTGACTGAGTCACGGCCACATCCTATGCAGGCTTTAAAAACACGCAAACGTTGTACCCCCCAAAAAACTTCCGCTTGCTTCATTTACCAGCTCTTAACGTTGAAAGTGAATGCATGTTTTCAATTTCTTTTCAAGTGCAAGAAAAGTCCCTCTTTAGTTTTTCACATAAAAGAAACGTGCGTGAAGTGTAAATGATTGTGTCATCATTTATACGTAACTCTGAAAACATTTATTGCCAAATAAAACAAAGAAACTTCAGAGAATCAGCGGGCTATTTTCTAAAGCTCTTGTGATTCTTCAATGCTATTAGACCACATCAGTGCAAGAAACCGAAGGCCATCAAGGGGCTGTGTTTGTAAATCTTGAAACGGTCTATATCTATCGCTGCACTGTTAAAGTGCTCTTTGTAAAGCATAGTGATGCGTCATCACCGTGACAGCACGAATAGTTCCTTCAATGCCTCGTTTTTACACGTCATCCTTGTTCAAGGCTTTTCACGTAAGAGAAATACAAATGCAGATGCAAAGCCGCTCTTCGACTAGCCTGTGTAACGCTGTCCCGTGTGTCCGCACAACCCCCTTGCCACATGTGTCGGAGCGATGCAAAGTAGGTCAAGTCGCAGCAACACGTTGACGTGACTCACTCACCCGCAGCAGCTGGCGGCTCCTGCTCCCGCTCGCAACCCACTTCTCTCTCGCTTCACCCTCTCCCCCGCCCAAAATCCTTGACCGCAAGACGAATGGAAACACTATACTATGTTTCACACATCATGTGCAACGATGTGGAAGCTAGTGAGACTTCATGCAGTCGAGGCAGCAGCCGTATGGACGCTGCCTGCCATTGCAAATGGCTAGCAGGCTGCGTACTTTGGCCGCTGTGTGATTAAATGTGTTCACTCTTTCCACTCGTTTATGTGAAGAACCCAACCATCCCCCGGGTCTTTCCATTTCAAACAAGAGTTTACTCGAGTAAACGCTACACCTAGCTGGCTTCAAACCATTCTTCCAGCACCGGCGTCGACACCCGTTGCCAACGGGTCGCTGCCGTGATCACTGCTTCTGCCTCGCATCTCATCGGGGTTCCCTCTGTGGAGGTGGTCCTTAATTTTCTGAGGCCGAATCTCCCTAAGCTGTGGGTTGTACGTCAGCACGCGATGTAGGTAGTAGTAGTAGTAGTACTAGTAGTAGTAGTAGTAGTAGTAATAGTAGGTAGCCACCTCCACGGCCAGACTACAGAAGCGACACGTGCGCACCCTTTGCAATGAGAAGGAAACTCGTGCACGTTAATAATAAATAAAAAGCTATTTGTTCATGATGAAATCAATTGAGTATTGAGGATATAATCTCCGATATCATTCGCCTTGAACTTGATGCGTACTAAAAAAATGGTAGATCCCACGTACAGTAGGAATCAATGATGTGCGAAGCAAGAATGAAAAACGTTGATTAATATTTTAAAATCAGCACAACGTTACGAGGTGGCAGTAATAAATTCAGTACATGACTTCCGTGTCATG